CAGACGCAGTGGGTTAGTTCCAAATGCGGAAGCCTAGAAGGTGACTGACAGGAGATCACATCCGAGCTGATGAAGGAAGACAGGATAAAGGTAAGGATCAAGAATAATCTGGCACCTATGGCTGGAAAACAGGCAGAACAAATTGGAGATCGGAACAGGTGAATCTGATGAGTGATGAGCATCAGGGCAGAGCTAGACAGGTGAATGAAATGAGCAATTAAGCCAGCCATCAGCACAAAATCATGACAGTGTTTGGCTCCATCCATATCCACATTAATTTTAACCATCTTCCCTGTTCCTGGTGAAAAAAAAAGCAGACCCAAACCATGATTCTGCCATCACCATGTTTGACAGTTGGGATGGCGTGTTCAGGGTGAAGAGCTGTGATGCTTTTAAACAGAGAATATTAATATTATCTTTGCTACTTTCCATTCTACTATTTTTCTGACAATCTTTCTTATAGGATACTGGGGAGTTCATTGGTCAGGAGATGGGACACCGCCTGACAGATCACGTCCTTCAAACAGAGGTGTAGCTAGAAAATGTTAATAACGATAGCCAGGCAATAAGCAATGTACACTGAGGGGTGGCCGAAAGCGGATAGGCGCCAGAACCTCACGGTCAATTTACACTGTTTCAACAGGAAAATTAATGAGCACAACATCTATATTTTCTAAATAAAGACAAACTAAACCTTTCTACAGCCTTTTCTAACAATTATATTTAGACATATATTTAAACATCCATGCTGTCTAAATTAAAGGTGTAGTGGACAAAATTCTTTCAAGTTTGATATGTGGGGAGAGCATCTTAATAATTGCTTGCATACTTTTACCAGTAATTGTTCTGCATAAAATCTACTATATCTACATTAAATTGATTACTTATCATTAAAGTAGTTATTTATCCCTGATTTCACTGAAGACTCCTAGATGACTAACAAAAACATAATTTTCTCTTCACCCCATGGGACAAAATCTAGGTCTGAAAAGAGCATCAATTCTGTATCTTTTAATGTTAGTATATCGATGTGCATAATTAGCCACAGTGTTTTTTGTTAACTGTTAATATATGAAGAATTAAAATGTTAAAGCAGTTAGAACAATTCACTTTAGAGTATTACTGCTGCCACCTTCTGAATTAGAGGGAAAAAGGGTAGGGGTGGCCACTGATTGGCTATGGGTGGCCATGGTCACTCCTGATTTGATATTGTCCGAAGCTGATTTATACTTCCATCCATTAATTAGGACTATTTCAAGTGAACCTTCTTTATTCAAAACCATGATCATACAAGCTGTCTCTAGATGGCGCAGCTGGTTTAACTAGAGCTCCAACATAGCTGTTAATGCTGTCTGAGCCTGGTCCTGTTCTTTTTGGACCAATGGTTCTGACCAAATAAACTTAATGAAACAAAAGTGTCTGGAAAAAGAATGAAAGATGGCTGGAAGGCGGCAGGAATAAAAAAAGATTATGAGTTATTTTAGGAACGGAAAATGCATGTTGATGCCATGGGTTTCTAACAGTGTGACATTTTGGCCAGTTAGCATAAACCTTTATTCTTAGTAGGGTGAATAGCAAAACCTATAAAGAAACTGTTACAGATATCCAAATAGTTGACAGAAAAAAATATCTTGGTTTAAATACATTTCAAACACTAGTGAAAAAGAAGAGAGCACATAGATTTAAAGGATGAAATTATAATGCAAAATTTGAGAAGAAAGTACAATGTTGCAGGGTGAGAAAAAGTGGTCTTTGTGCCCTACAGCCTATAGCAGCTAAACTACAGAGATGTCATGATTTTATGCAAAGATCTGAACCACATGCAGAAAACGAAACAGAGAGACCAGGGAAAGGTTTAACAGGTTTATTGAGAACTGGTAGGGATGGGTCCAGTGCTGCTCAGAACACTGGCGAACCGGGACTGAAAAGTGAAGGGAAGTTCCTGTGGTTAGTTCAGGCTCAGTGGGAAATTTGAGCTTTAATTTGCAAAAGGGAATTAAGCAACAGGACTCACGTTTCCCGAAAAGGTGTCGTTCTCTGAATCCAGTTTGTGTGGGTTGTTCCAGTAATTGACTTGCTCGTTGGAGGGCGGACAGGGTTTACCCAGGTTGAGGTGCTTCCTTGAGGAACGGAGGAGCTGACTGCCACTTGGATTTCCTATGGTACTTGAACGGTTTCTTGTGGAGATCCCCAGCTCAGTTTGAAGCTCAGACGATCCTTCCAGGGGGAGAAGGTCCAAAACATCCAGTTTACAGGATGACTTCCTGCAGAGAGGCAAAGACAAAAACAACAAGGTTAGGCTCAGGTAGACAAAAAACTCAGCTTGGCTAGAGTACCCAAAACTGGCAAACACTCTGGCGTCGAGGTAGTGGCAGTCAGCAGCTTAAGAGTCCTCCGGTAATGAGGCAACCATCCGCAGGTGTGTGGGAAAGCCAACGAGAACCAGGTGCCACCTGGTGGTGGAGGAAAAATACAACCCAAACAAACTGGATTCCTAACAAGAGATAGATCAAGATGACCTAAGCCAGTGTAACTGTAACCTTTATAAAAAAAAAAAGAAAAGCTTTTGTGTGAAAAGTACAGACTGCAGGGTGTCTGCCTGATTGTCAAAACTTAAAACCAATATTCTATTAGTGAAGAGCCTATAACTAAAATATTTGCCCAATTATATTTTCAGAAAGTAGATTTTTCAACTTAATTTTCATTATCTTTTTTGGTCTGTCTTTTTAAATAGTTGACACAAAGTGCTTAAACTTATTTAAGTTAGGAGACAATCTTGGTGGCTGTTTCTGTATGTGTGTGTTGTGTGTGTGTGTACTTGTTTTTTCCTTGTTTGGTAGGGATAATTTCATGTTTAAATGCTACTTTGTGGGGACCAATCATTTTTATGGGGACGTCCATAAGTTCTTCCTGCGGAAATGTAGGCGCTATGTTTTGGACTAAGGTGTGAACTGAGTTCTGGTTAGGGTTAGATAAGCAGCTGTAAGGGTCAGGGTTAGGCTTTTGCATTGCTTACATATGAATGGAAGTCAATGGAAAGTCCCCACCGGAAAAGTGAAACCCAACATGCGTGTGCGTGCATGTGTGTATGGGGTGTTTATCTATTTCCTTCTTTGAAAACCTGCCTGTGCAATACGTTTCCCATTAGGGATGATAAAATTACTTCAATTTGAACTCACCTCTTGTACTTATTCAGTATTTGTCTCCTGCTTGCATATATTTATTAATGCTTTTAAATATTCAAATTATTAATAGATTTTTTTTTGCCCTCAACTAACCTTCACCTATCCAGAGGTGCATTAATCTGCTCCCTATTCTAATCACTTAGTACATGTGGCTTCTACTGTACCTGACCTCCTGTCACCCTGTCCTGTACCAGGAAAACAGCAAGGCACGCAGTTGTTTCCTGATGTAATTCCAGTCCAACCTAATCCCGTCGGTCACCACCCACACATACTTCTCTGCTACTGACAACTTCCTCATGCATTCATACATTTTCTTTCTTGGCACCAGTTCTAGATTTTTGCATTTCATCCTTGTCTTCTTTAAACATGGTACAGCAGAATTCTCCACCCCTCAGACATATTTTTATTGTTGGGATCTGTGTTCAGTCTGATCAAAACCAACTCTCGTAGACATCTTGCAATCTGTACAGGTATGCCGTTTCACATAGCTTTCTTTCTCATTCCCTTCATAGTTATCCTCACTACCTTCTTCCTTATTTACTGGACTTCCTAGTAGACTTTGTTTTCTCTACCTTTTGTCTCTGTTCTCTGTCTCTATTTATAAACCTCTTGAGAAAAAATACCGATGACAAATTCTTTCTACCTTTGTATTTAATTGCTCAGACTTAAACTGCTAATACTGTCATACTTCTTTAACATTGAGTTAATTTTTGCTCCCACTTAATGGACTTTAATTGCTTAAAATTGTCCATATTAAACTTTGGCTTTCTAAAAATAGTTAAGAAATAATAGAAGTTGAAATATGTTAATAATTTTTTTTAAATCTCCACTGCTTCACTGTATGTCAGAATCTTGTTGAATTAATGCTGTATAGGAAGCACTACTGACAGGATTGGTTCTGGGCATGCAAACAAAAAAAGAACTTGCTTTAGAAAACATATGAAATAAGAAAAATATGAAATTATTTACATATTTATATGGTATTGTAGCCTGCTCTGTTTTCTTAGAATTTGGTGATAAGGTTTGTAAACAAAATAAATCAATGCTTTGCATAATAATGAAAAGAGATTTAAAGAACGTCCATAAAGTGGAGAACATTTTGGGCAATATCTGATGGATGTAAAGGCTGCGTGCTGAGGATGGTAGCTTACAGAGCTATTTTCCTATTTTCCTCTCATCTGAGCTCTCTTTGACAACCTGCCACCATGCATTGGTCTCTGTCTATCCTAGCAGTACACCAGCAGATAGGAGAGCCTCTCTCTGGCGCATTGAGCAGTAAAATTTCAGATTGTCTGACTCAAGTGATTGTGAAGCGCTTGAAGCACCTCACGCACCTTGGATGTTTAATGCTAATCAGGCGCTGCTCCAGCTGTTTGAAATCTGCTGCAGAACCTTTTGTACATGTCATCCACAGAGTTTGCATGTAAACCATCTGCTCTAGCTGCCTTTGTGTGAAAGCAGCATAAAACAGAATAGACCAATTGCACTGTGGAAGAATGGCCCATAGTGCAGTAGCACTTTTCTGTAACTATAATAATCAAGACTGTAGTCTCAATGGGGCAACGTTTTGAATGTTCACTTTATTATGTCAGGAATTAGCTATTTGTATCATTAAAATTATTAAAACTGACTTCTACAAAAAACTAAATAAAGGTGTTTGATTGGTTCTAAACTGCTAACACTTACTCAGTTAGTCCCACCATTCAGATCAGCTCCTACACCCTCCTCTCCAGACTAATATACAGTACACAAGGCCTAAAGTATTTACACCATGATACCATGATGTATCTGAAACAGTCAAACATAAAAAAATTACACACTGCCAACTAATCACCTTTATTGATTTTAGAAATTAAGTATAACACAAGTATTACATAAGCATTACATAATCATTGGGTGTTTGAACAACCACAGGAAGAGCAAAATCAAACTGCAGCAATATTCTAATATTTCAATCTCTATTACATAGATTTAAACAGGAGAGGTTATTCTGATCATTATCAATGAAAAAGAAAGCAGTGCTTCACAATAGGATTCAATCTTCTACAGCTTGTAGTAGAGGTTCACCTGTTAGCGGAGAATAGATGCTCTCACAGGCACTTAGGAACAATCTTGGAGGAATGTTTTTCTCTCCCTATAGCACTTAAGAGAGATATTCTGGAAGAGGTACCTGTTGAATGACAATAAAAAAAAAGAACTTAAAAAGTACTGAAGAACAAGCAAACATCTGCCAATACAAGTTTGAAAAAAACAAACATTTCTAATGTCGCAAAGATTCCTTATGTGAAGAAGCCAAATCAGAGTAAACATTTCTTTCCTCAGCGCTGTTGCGATTAAAGCCAATATTTTGTAGTCAATAAGTTCCAAATTAAAGAGAGACGTGGTTTTGAATATTACATGATTAAATTTTTGACGTTTTAAATACACTGTACAATCAAACATTCTTTGTATCCTTCAGTCAAGGCTTGTAAGATTTCAATTTTAGGTAAATTGTTGACATCTAAATGAAAAGGTGTGAAGGTGTATTTGAATGCAACACTGGAAATGCATGCTCACCCTGTGTGACCTCAGGGAAAATCAAAATAGATCAATTAAAATATGCATTAGAGAATTCTTGACCTCAACAAGTCTGGCTTATTGTAGCTCGATTCACATCCAAAAAATGCCCAGTTTAATTTCTAATAATAATTAAAATGAGACGTAGAAATAAAAAAAATGTCCATGATCACGTCATTATGGATGAAGACAGGTTATGCAACCCAAGGATTAATGTTTTGTTGTGAAAACTGAGGACTTTGATCCTGTTGTCTTTACTTGAAGTGATTTTAGTCTTATATCAATACAGGCTAAAAATTCTAGCATGAAGAAGAACCGTTCAGACCAAAAGCAACCAAAAAAGCAGGTTTATAATCTGAAAATGAACTCCAGAATACCTTACGTTTTGAAGAATATCCTTCTAATGAAACCGACATGTTTGTGATCGGCCTTAATGACCATCATTTTAGTTGAATATTAAAGGCAAGAAACTCCTCAATCTTAAAAGTTGAAGTGTGCCAGTACAAGGTTGTGGGTGTGTTTTATTGTAGGAAGGAGAAATTTATACAATAGATGGCATAATGAAGAAAATAATAGATTAAAGTATTGACAAAACATCCCCCAAAAAGAAAACTTGCGGGCAAATAGGTATTGGACATAAATGGACAATGATCCTTAATATCAGTTCAGTAAAGTCAGTTTTTGAGACTCCATCATAAAGACCAGATCTGGTTTAAATGAATAGGGCTGGCTAGACTACTAACGGTTACCTTCTATTGTGTAGTTCAGACCAAAGTAGACTCCTTATCTGTCTTGGTCAAAATCTAAGCAGTAACTAGATGGGTATGTCATGAGTGAAGGGTGCTTGTGGTAAAGTGAAATACATGTTTTGGGGAAAATACCAACTAAATTGCTGAACTGAACGGTAAACGGCAAAGGTCATCCTCATACGGTTTAATCCGGAAACACACTCGCATTTTGTGTGATTTATAACAAACAGGGCAATTAGGACATACATGTTTACCAAATCATTTAGAAAAATTAGACATACTCACGGTAGGAGCTCAGAAGTAAAAAAAAAAATGAATAAATAAAAAATAAAGATGAATGGGCAAGAGCAGGAACTGTAGCTTTATGTCTACTGTCCTACTTGTTTATGTTGGGAGAATTTTTGGTACATATTGTCCAATTAATACATGGCAAGTGGTCTTAAGACATTTTTGAACAGAAAAAAACAATGTTTAGAGTGTATTTCCGTCTTAAATCAGAGTCTTGAAGCAAGCAACTCAACATCAATTACGAAGAGGGAGAAAAATCCTCCACTTCTGTATATGCTTCAATATTGCTAAGCTAAACTAGCGCCCATGTTCTGACTAACCTCCTGCCAAACCCTCATCCTTGAGTTTCACTTTAAGCCCTGCCCCTGTATGTTTTTAAATTGGAATGAGTAACACTTAAGTGGCCGTTCTACCTACAGTACCTACCTACTACAATATGTAAACTCTTCTATCTGAATAAGGTATGATTTAATAAGTTTAAATATTTCTCTGCAATTATTCAGGAATTTTGAAAATTGTGCTCCTTTTTAGAGAATTTAAGTAGTTGGTTTTTCAACTACTGGTCTTCAAGGGGAAGAATTGTAGAATATGTAGAATGCATTTAAACCAAAACTCTAAAATGTTGACTTAATTTTGGCTTACCAGTGGTAGTACGACTTTATGAGGCACTCGATGTCATCGGTGATGTCGTCGTCTGTGAAATCTTTAGTGGGAGAAAGAAACATTAATAACATGCAACTAAAAAAGGGTGTTGTATGTATTATTCTTTTGTCATAAACCCACCTGAGCAAGATTTCTGGCACAGATTTCTAGACCAGCGGTAACCAGAATCACAAAAATGGCTATCTCTCAGCTGGAAGATTCCATAAAAACCAAGAGACCAAAGAGGCATCCCGTTGGGGTACCTTTGACTAGAAGATGCGTCTTCATCTAAGTTGTACTCGATCATGTGCTCATCATCTTGTTCCATCTGATCCTCATCGAAAAGGTTTTCCATATCATGCAGTGTAAAATACTCATAGGGATCATTTCGCTTTTTTCGTCTCCTCACAGATGTTGAAGATGATTGTGAGGAAACTGCTTCCGTACCAGGAGCAGTAGTTGAAGTAGTAGGAGCAGTAGTAGTAAAAGTAGGGGTAGTAGTAGTGGTAGTGGGTGCAGCGCGAGCAGTTGGAGCAGCTGTCATTGCTTCGTCGGTTACCTCTTCATATCCATCAGTTGTTTGCATGTCTGTGGTCAAGTGCTGGCGGATCCCCTCTACTTTAACCAAGCTGGTGTTCATGTTAGACTTCTCGCTGATCTCACAGATAACTGCACCAAACCGGTCATGTAAGAAGGTACAAGGAGGAAACAAAGAAAAGGAAAAACAAAATTAGCAGAATGATTATCAACAAGTCACTGACATTCAAGAATGTATGGTTTGTAACACATGTCTGCTGGGAAACAGGCAGTAACATTACATATTTTGTATAATACACAAATTTTCTTTGACCTTTTTTTCCTGAATTTCAATTTGTAGAAACAATCTAGTAGAATGGCCATGTAATTAGTGAGTATTTTAAAGGTATTTTAAAACACAGTACTTACCTATAGACAATATTTCCTCCTCGTGCTTCCTCAGATTTTTGGGCAGGTAGATTTTCCCATGAAGCTTGTCCTTCAGCTCGCATTTGGAGACAATTCGACTTTCGGAAAGGTCGGGCAGCAGGGCCGCCACAACCAGCACCAACAGCAAGCCCAGCTTCATGTCGGTTCTGCTGGAGATGAAGGAAAGCCAATCTGTTTGTTTTTGGTAGGTAACTAATGGTTGATAACATAAACCCTACCAAAAAATCAAGGCACTTTTATACATTGCAAAGTTAGTCTCTAATATTCTTGTATTTTGCTAGTAATTTCAAAATATTAAACAAATGGCAGAATAACATTTTACCAATAACCAATACAATGTATATTAGAAACTATAGACCTCACATTCAATATCAATGGTATATGCTCAAAAGCAAACATTCTTCTTACTTAAGTGTGCAGAAAATTTACTTAGAACACCATAGATTGTTAATATATATAAAGTTATAGTTTTGGGTTGGAATATTATTTTTTAGGACTATATCATAATTAAGAAAGGAAAGCTGTGATTATTTTGGTTCTGCTTTGCAATAACCATCAAAACCACCATTTATAAATGGTAAAGAGCATCTATTAATGATTAATAGATCTTTTTTATTGTTTGATTAATTTATAAACTGCATCTAAACCATTTATAAAAGGTAAATAGAAGGTATTAAGCCCACTAAATGTCAGTGTGAGGGTAAATCCAACATAAGATGAAAGGCCAGGTTTGGGTCTAAAGTCCAGTTATATTAAGGTTAGGAATAAACTAACAGTGCAGGGCAATATGATCTACTTACCTTATATAAATGGTTTATATCACAATTAATAAACATTAATAAATCGTTAATCATTTATAAATTGTCCCTTTACCATATATAAATAACGTTTATGATGTTTTGTGTAAAATGTTACCATTATTTTTTATACAACAGAAATATCTAATCAATCTCTTATAAAAAGATTGCTATTATAATCTTCAAAAACTGTTAGCATATATTTTACTCAAAAAACAGCCATTATTTCTTCAAGAGTTTAACATGTTTGAAATGTTTACTTGCAGGTATCCCATTTTAGGCCACTGGCACCAAATTAGTTTCTACATTGGTTTAATTTTACATGCTAAGCATAATCATATAGTTGAAAATATGGCTTTTTTTTTTTTTTTTTTTAGCATTTTGGTGTCAAAAAGCAGTTTGTGTCGTTTGGGCCCAAGCTGAGAATTTATGAAATAAAGTTAGATTTAAAAGGTCTGCCTTCAACACTATTCTAGTTCTTTTTTTTTTTTTTTTGCAATAAAAACAAGTTATAAGGTAAACTGTAAAAACTTGATCAAATAAAACTTTTGTCTTTTACAAAGAATTTTAAATATCAAGGAGTTTCTGGTACAACTTCATCAACTACCAAGGTGCATAAAGATGCTTTAAAGAGCTGGTAAAGGGAAAACTTCAATAACACCTAAAGTTCTCGAAAAGAAAAGTTATTAACAGACCAAAGTGTTTGAAAGCCAAAAGCTAAAAAAAAATCCCTGTTCTGTCAATACATTTTTGGTTCCAAGAGCTTTGTTATTGAAGTTTACTTAAGTAATCTAAAAACCACTTAATCACACAATTAGTCATTTTAATATTTGCATTAAAGAGAAGTGTTCTTACTGTGTTCGTCTTGATGGCAGAGGTAATTCTGAAAACAATAAGCCCCAAGCGTGCACTACATAGTTTTAAACTGCTAGCTCCCAGGTCAACCTGTTTTACTGCATTCATTCTTTCGGCTTCCCTGAAGGAAATGAGACAATGCACAAACACATGCACTTTCTGTCTTGGCATTGATGGTGATAGGACTGCATGTATGACGAAAAACATTTTTTTATATGCAAGCAATGTACAGATTTTTAACTTTTCCAGTTTTCATCTTGTTTACAGAATTTTTTAAACCAATTTAAATCAAATGTACAATTATTATTTTTTTGTTCATAAATATTTGATCAAATCATGTCAATGCAATACAGTTTGTGATAGGAAATATTATTATACACACTGTTCCTCTTAGGTCTGTGGTTAATAACCCTAATGTGAGTTTCTTTTGTCTCTTTTATTGCAGAAATGTATTCACTTAAGCAGAACATCTGCTAGACAAGGCTAAATGTCATGTTACTGTCCCCTAAGAAGCTGTTTTCAATGTCAGATGTTTTGGTGAAGAGCTTAAACTCCTTAAGTTCAAGGTTATTAGAATAACTTTCTAACATGGATAACTGCCTACTTTGTGTGTGAAAACCATCCATATATTTTATAAGTACTTAGTGCAATCCTTTGTCTGATTACAATAGAAAGAACATTGGCAAAGACGATCTCTTCTCTCTCCTCTCTGAAAGGATTAAAAAATGCTGCTTGAAAGAAGAACACCATACTCTTCTTCTCTTACGTTATCTTCTTAACATAAGACATAGACTGTTTTTCCCTCATAAGTTATATAAGCAAATTCAGTTTTACAGAAATACATTGATTTTTTTGAAAAAATATGCAGTAACATCATTTTGCATGAAAACATTATTAAAACTCCAACAGCTTTGAGAACATTCCTTCTATGTGCTTTGGATGAAGGGATGCATCTAAGCTCTAAAAGATGCAGACCTCCACAGATTCCCCTAAACCCTTACTCAGTGGGCAGACCACTGACTTATTTATATTTATTAGGTGTTTTGCATTATATGTTGCACTCAGCTTTAAGAGAAGCAGTTTGATTTTCATTTTCTATTTTTTTCCCCCAGCATTTTATTGTCACTACACTGTCACAAGTAAAGAGCAATTGAAATGAACTCTTTGCATTTAACCCATCCCTTTGGGAAGCAGTGGGCCGCCATTGTGCGGAGGAGCAGTTTGGGGGGTTAAAGGCTGATTTATACTTCGAAATTAGGTCGTCTGCATGTCTCAGTGAACGCAAAGACGTCCCCTCCGCCCACACAGACACTCTGCTGCACCTCTCCCAAATTGTAGGTCACCGCAGACAGCGCCGCAGACAGGAGGCCAGCTTGTTTTGTTTGTCTGACCGGTAGTGGGGAAAACAACTCGTGAAGTCGGACTAGCTAGAAGCATGAGGTGCGCAAGAACACTGGGACCCTTTTTCCACCTGGATCCCCGCTATTTTTCGCCCTCATTTCCCTCCGTTGTTGCACATACTCAGCCCCACTTCCCCCACTGCCTCCACAGCTAGTTCATGATTCTCTTGCACTGTGGCGTGGAACAAACATAGCGCAGACCATGCTTCAAAATTTAGGATAAATCAAAAATGTCTGCATCAACATCACTGTGACACACTGCTGCGGGGAGTATACCCAGTCCTTAGGGGTCTTACTCAGGGACCCAGAGTGGCAGTCCGTGAGAGTGGGGCTTAAACTCAGAACCTCAGAATTCCAAGCGCAGTGCCTTAACTCCCAAAAGCAGGCATTAGCCAGAAGGGTCTTGCCTAAAGACCCACACTGGCAGCTCAATCCCCCCAGCAGGGATTTTAATCCAGGCTTCCTGTTTGCAGGACGGGTGACTTACCACTTGAGGTAGCCAACCACCATCCAGGCCTAGAAACACTTGACCATCTCTACACCCTCTGCAGGAAGCTCAAGGGTTCATGTGAGTTTGTCCAAGCAGTCAACATGTGTTTATTGGACCCGGAGAAAACATTTGACCATGTCCCTTGTGGTACCCTATGGAGCGGAGGTCTTGAACAGAGGGTCCGCGACCCCTAGGGGGCCCACGGGGATACTGTATGGGGGTCACAAAAGTTTTGGTTGATTAGACTTTTTTTATATTCCCCCTGCATTTTTTTCCACTAATTTAAATGTCTTTTAATCCACATCAAGATGAATTCAACACATTGTAGTAAACACATAAATTGAGGCAGCCATTTAAAATGGTTACCTAAAAGAGTGAAATCAGGACTGGATGTCTGTTTACATTAAAAGACTGGACCATTGGCAGAATGTTACAGCTGAATAAATAAAGAATTGGTGTTCTCTTCTTCTGCGATTTTTCATTACCTGAGCCGTTGTGTCTGATGGAGAGATATCTTACCTCAAACGCTGTCAACTTCCTGGAGATTTGATCTATTTTGTGCTGTGTATGAGTTCCAGTAAATAAGCCACTCCGGGGAATGTACAGACCTTACAAAACAGTATAATGTTTAGTCATTTAAATAGCAATTCACATTGAAATGCTTGGTTTAAAATTTTATAAATGAGCCTCATCCTAATGTTTACATGTATTTTATTGCTGCTGCATAGCTGCTGATTTGCTATTTTTATAGATAAGGATTCAAGCATTTGTAGCTAATAAAGTGACTGTTAAATGTATATGATGCAATATAAAAAGAAATAAAGGCTACAAAGTTTGAATGTCCTGTCACAATGCTCAACTATAAATGCAAGTGATCAGTCTATTTTTGTCCATCTATGTCAGAAATTAGAGGAAATACAGGTTTATCAAGGTTATTGTTATGATGTGATGACTCTTTACAGGAATCCAGGAAATGATTCACAAGATAAAGACTTTAGACTTAGTCTTAGTCTTTCAGTTTGCCTACCGATGAAATCGCTCCCCTGAGGCCGATATCTTCTCAGCTCTTCACCTAAACCTAGCACACCTGGAGGAGAAGATCACCCAAGTGCACAATGTTTTGTTTTTTTCTCCCACGCTGTTTACATTTGATCACCGCTGCACTTTATGGGATGGAAATGTTCTGAAAGCTGTAGAAAAGGATTTTTTTTTTGTTTTTAGACTTAGACAATAAAAGTCTAAGTCTAAGGATGCTGTTTCTGGACTTCAATTCAGCTTTCAACAACATCATCCCACACCATCTGATAGGAAAACTGGAACATCTGGGCTTCAGCACAACACTTTGCAATTGGCTGCTAGGGTCTGACAAAAAAACCTCAGAAGTCATCACCCTAAGCACAGGCTCCCCATAAGGCTGAGTCCTGAACCCCCACTCTGATGACATACGACTTCACAACAGTAGTTGGCCTCATCAGAGACAGGGAGGAGGTGTAGCAGGAGGTGGGCTGGTGCAGAGATAAAAGCTTGATCCTTAATGTAGAGAAGATGAAGGAGATCAACGTCGACTTTAGGTAGAACAGGCACGCTCCACTGCTCATCAACAGCTGAGCTGTAGAGGTGGTCAGCAGAACCAAATTCTTGGAGGTGCACATCACAAAAAACCTCACCTGGACTGTAAACTCCACCTCACTGGTCAAAATGGTGATAGCCATACTGCTCCACTTGTGAAAGCAAAATATTTTGGGCTCTCTTTTTGGCATCAAGGCAATTAATAAAAAAAAAAAAAAAAAAAAAAAAAAAAAATTAAGCTGGTACTGGAGTAGTAGAGCTTGAGTCACAAGAACCAGGTAGACCCACAGATTTAAAGGCTATGCCTTTTCTCTAGATTATCACTAAATAATTTATCAGTACATGCTTTATTTTGTAAAAACTTTACCCATCAACCCTTTTCCTCAGCCTTCATTTGCAGAGTGACAAGCCACATATTTAATGCAGTATCATCTAGGTCCTCAGAATTTGAAGAAGAGGCATCATGAAAGATGTTCTCCCATGACAAAAACCTTAGGATCTTTCCCAGAAGCTGCAGTATGATCCTCTTTACGGTCTTCAAACAATAGGCAACAATGCAAAGACCAGCAAAAACCTTCATGCACACTAATCATGCCAGCTGTGATCAACTAGCGGACCACCATAACCTTGAGGTTGTCTTCGAGAATTTTTCTTGATAACTTTAATTTAAAGTGATGCCACAATGATAACCAGATGATGCAACTGAAAAATGCTGCAAACTAAATGTGACAGCCATCACAATAAAAACAAAAAAATATCTTTAAACCTCTGTGGCTTAGATCCCGAATGAACCCCTACCTATTTTAAGTCCCCAGTCGGCATGGAAGAAAAAGATAGGTTCTAAGTTTGGGTTAAAAGGATTTATTTGGAATATTCAGGACAAAAAAAAACAAGAAATTAAAAATAAATTAAATCTCAGAAATGAATGGCAATAAATTGATTGTTTATAGAATTGAAACTTTATAAAGAAATGTGTAGGTCGTGATGATGAAACTCAGCTAAATTCATTTGTCAAACACCGTCAAAAATGTATCATATCATCATGGATACATTCCATGCATTTTCAACTAGTTCTATGCTAGAGAGCTTATTTTAGAGTCACAGGGAAACAGCTATTCCAACCGTTGTATTTCTGAATTCTCCCAAGTGGTGCACGACTTTACCAGAGTGAATAAAGTGAATGTGATTGGTCTTTTATCAAGGGGCGGGGTTGTTGTGGCGGAAGGTTCGCAAGCAAGTTTGAGTGTAGCTGGTCTCTGGGAGGCTTGATTAGCTCTTGGTTAGCAAGTGTTAGCAGGTCCCCAATGGGAAATTCCATTGGGACCAAGTAGCACTAAATTGGTGACTTAGAAACGACGCTGTCAAGGAACGCTATGGACAGCGGAAACATGCAAGAGGAGGAGAGTTTAGTGTCGGAGGTCATGGATTAGTCTCCTCCGTCATCCATTTTTTATTTAGAGGAGGAAAGCGGGGAAGAAGATGTTGTGGAAGAGGACGCCAGTGCGGCAGAAGCTTGGTTTGGTGTAGGAGGCGTCCAGCCGTACATGTTTGAGCCCTTGCCTCGCAACGCTGCCAGTTCTGTTAGCTCTACGCCTGCAGGAGACACAGACGTCCATCCCTGTAAACACTGGGACGGCACTCAATGGTTAAGGAAA